TACTGATTCAATAAATGAGTATAAATACCATGTATATTCTTTCTTGGTTTGGAATTGAAAAGAATAACAATATAATTAATTGTTTAATAGTATTCATCAGTAAACAATATTTGTATTCTCAGTAGTAAAATCATTTTTTGAAAAGAAATCTACTCACATCTATATATATTCATACAATAATCATGGAACTGGAAATAAGAAAACCAGTTAAAAAGTGAGTACTTTTGTTGAATTGATAAAACAATATATGTGTATATTATAAGTGATCATATAATAATTGTTCATTTCTATGATTTTGTTTAGTATAGGTTATTCACTGATGATGATTTAGTGAAACTTCATCAGTTGAGATGGGTGGGATATGTGTTACGTATGCCTAACCATCGACTGCTCCGATGTGTGGTGTTTTATGGTGTAGGAGTAAGTAGGACGAAAGCTAGGGATGGCCAGAACGAAACATGGCACAATTTCATGCAGTCACTGACAAGTATACTGAGCCATGTTGGCTGGTGTAGATTATCTGGTTAGGATCCGTGAGACAATAGCAACCGATGATTAGAGACCTTGAATGACATGGCTCATAATTGTTTGCAATGGTGCAGGTGCATCCACTATTTGTGTTCTCCATAATTCTAATCTTCTGAATTCTTCATGTCCATTTTTTTCTCTTTGGAAATTTATTTCACTGGGTTATACTCTTCAAATAACATCTCCGAACCCTAATCTCCCCGATTACTGCTTATACTTTTACTACCTCTACCACTACGGGATGTAAATCAACAATTGTATCTCTGTGCTAATGTGGTATGACGACTCGAACTGATGTACATACATACGATGTTCTAAGTTGTTACCGACTGACTGAATTTCTTACGCTTCTTCATGTTTCTGTTTAATACTTTTTTGTACCTGGGTAAAGAAATTGTCAATTTGTATGCTGATGATATTCAGTGCTCGTTCAATTATTTTGACTAATAATCGATCATGGTTAGAAGTATTTACATGTGTTCTATAAAAAGCGATTTTATTCATAAAGTTCTTGTTTTTATAGTTTTACAGTATTTGATAGGAATAGTAATGAGTGCTTTATGAGGACTATTTTTGACTAACATGTTTATAGTGTAGATAGAATACGAGTGATTGCATAACAAAATTATGAGATAATTTTTATATTACAAATATATGGATGATATGTTCGTTTTGTGTAACAAGTACACTTAGACTTATATTTTGAATTGTTTATTCATACTGACTTAGACATTTAATTTGTTTGTGAAATTTCATTCAAGAATCTCCTTTCATTTCTATATTATATGTTTTTTATAGAGAATAATTGTTTATAAGAAGAGATGGATGGTAGCTAGTCGTGGAATCCGAGATGCGCATTTCATCCTATTTGTGACTCGTCAGCTGGATATGCCTGCATCCCGACGTTAATGTCCACTTCAAGACTCTAAGTGCCTACTGGGTTCCACTCCTAGTTACCATCCATTTGTACTTATAATACTTGTGACTTAACTTAATATCGAGGCAGTCCCTTCAAGATACACATATGTCAATAAGAGACTGACCAATCTCAGTCTTAAACATTAATGAAAAGATCCAAACAACCAATACAAAGAATCAATAATTGTTTGTTTAATGGCAATGATTGTAGAATAAATATTCATGGATTTCATAATAGATCTTAAAATTCTATAATAAATATTAAAACATTTATTAACCTAAAACTTCATAGTGTATAACAATAACTATAAGTGAACATCATCCGATTTAGATTTTCATTTTAATTAGTTCATTATTAACTTATATATAAGCTACTACTCATTAATTTACTATTAATAAAACTACAATGACATTTATCAAGTATTTAATGTGCATGCTGTGAATTCATAATTATTCATTATTCTGGAATCTAAATGGGAATATCTAGATAACCAACTACTACACACTATTTTAATATGAAACATATTTATGATAAGAATTCAAAGTGAACTATGAGACATTCTGAAGTGTGAATTCGTAAATATTTAAATTATCTATATATTATTATTATTATCATTATTATCATCAAGGAATAGGCTGGTTGATTCAGTGTGTAAAACTTATCGTTTACTAAATAGAATGAAGTAGTACCTTCATTCTTGAAATATGAAATTCTTAACATTTGAATTTCCCAAAATTACCATATCTATTTCAAGTCTAACCAACTACTCAGTAGTAGTAGTAGTAGTAGTAGTAGTAGTAGTAGTAGTAGCAGTAGTAGTAATGATAGCACCAAGTACCAGACAGAAAATAAATAGGTCACTGGTGAACACATAAAAATGTGTGCAATCATTTGATTATATTATTTATTTTTTACTTTTTAACAATGAACAGGTTAACCTTTTTCGTGAAACATTTTTGACAAATATCTATTTATCAATATATGCTCAATAGTGACTGGCTTCAAAAGGTATATTCTGGAGTTCCAGTGAGAAGCATTGGTTGGTGGAGTTCAGTCAGCTTGTTGTGAGATAATAACTCACTGATAACAATGGTGGATGTGTCGCTCAACTTCATGGATTAGTTGAAGTTAGACATTAACACCATTAGATGCCGGCTTAGCGATCTAGTTGGTTAAGCGCCTGGCGCAAGACTGATAGGTCCTGGGTCCGAATCTCGCGGGGTGCGGGATCGTGGATGCGTACTACTGAGGAATCCCAAAATAGGACGAAACAGCCGTCAAATGCTTCCAGGTTTTCCATGGCGGTCTAGCTTCAAATGACTCATGATCTCAACCATTGAAATTATTATATGATCCACAAAAAACCCATTCTGAAATATTTCTTTATTTATCTATTTAGTTCTACTGGTTATGATAATTGTTTTCTCTTTGTTGTTGTCTTATATCAATTCCTAATTCATAGGTTTACACGATTTTCACTATTACAATATGTGTTAAACTAAAAACACTTAGTATTGAGAATTTTTAAATGACTATATATGTAGTTCTATGAAATAAAACTTCACTAGATCAATAATTTATTTTACATCATTGAACACAATATTTAATATAGTTATTGTGATTATGTGAAATTAGTATGTGGAGTAAACCAATAACAGTTTATAGTAATAACAATACCCGTGGTTCACTAAATAATTCACGGTGAGACTATAATTTATGAACGACCTTTGAGCGATGTTAAAGTCATCTTGAGAATATCCACCTATTAACTAGGACTAAACGGGAGTTATAAACCACTGTTGACGGTTAGGATTAGGAATCAGAATTAGGGTTTTCATTACGAATCGACATCATCTAAAATGCCAAAACGCTATTTAGGCAAATGGATTAATGAGTTTCAAGATTTTAACTAATACTGTATACTAAATACAAATAAAGAATGTGAAGTAGATATATTTTAAGAGATAATAATCAATAATATCAAAATATGTTAACAAATATTTGTTTATTAGTATGGGGTTGTGGAGATTGTTGAGTTTCTTTAAAATCATGAACTGATTAGTGTCAAACAAACATTGTGAATGTGGAAGCATTGGAGGGCCCTTTCGTTTTGCTTTTTGAATCACTGAACAGTACTCTGTCACAACTACGCATGCAAAAATCGAACCCAGGAGCCTCGGCGTCGCACAAATGCTTAATCTGTAAGCCACTGAGTCGGGATACAATGGTGTTAATGTCTAACTTGTGAGGCAGCTACCCACCGGAGATAATCGAAAATGGTCGCCCAATATTGTGGATTGATTATTGTTAGACACCAATACTGTTGGATGCTGGATCAGTGGTCTAGTGGTTAGGCGCTCGCGCGAGAGACTGATAGGTTTTGGTTTCGTATTTCGCGAGGCGTGATCGTGGATGTGCACTGGTGAGGAGTCCCACAATAAGACGAGACGGCCGTGCAGTGCTTTCAGGTTTTCCATGGTTGTCTAGCTTCAATTGACTCATGACTTCAACCATTGAAATGACTAAAATCTCCACAAAAACCCCTTCTAATATTTATTAGACATTAGTTGTTTACTTAATCAGTCAATAATATGAACTATTTTAAAAGATTCACTTAGTTTCTAACATTATTCGATTGAATAATGAGAATTTGTTGTTTACAAAAAAATACCGAATAGCTCATTTATCAATGCTCACATTATCTATTTTGTTGTAGGTTGTTTTTATTTGATTGATATTAAATCTGTCAAAATGAACTAACAAAGAAAAAAGAAACATATTTTATATGTAATTATACTCAAAAATAGTAAATCTCAGTATGTATGTATGTATGTATGTATTTAGGTATTTATGTGTGATCCATTTTGTTTAAACGAATACATATAAGGTAGTTCATTTTTATTTTATTCAATTGGCTACGAGTACTACTACTACTACTACTACTACCACTATTATTACTACTACTACTACTACTACACAAAAACTGAATATTTGAGTTGATTCATCAATTATATTTTAAATTAAAGGCAACCAGAACTACCTTTCAGTTGCTATGTGTTCTTTTCAACAACAACAACAACAACAAAAACAACGGAAAAAATTCAATGATATTTATCATTGAAAAATAAATGTGCATTCAACTCATTTGCATACATTGATTTGTAATTCAAAGTTAACATTAGAAATATGTAGATTGTATTATTTGTAAAAAATTTAAATATATTCAATTAATAATGGCATCATTTATATCTAAGTTGAGTTTATTGTAAAGTCAGTCAGTAACAACGTAGAACTTCGTACGTACATACATCAGTTCGAGTTGCCACACCACACTACCACAGAGATGCAGTTGTCGATTCAAATCCCATAGTGGTAGAGGTAGTAAAAGTATAAGCAGTAATCAGAAAGATTAGGGTTTGAAGATGTTATTCAAGGAGTATAATCCAGTGAAATAAATTTCCAAAGAGAAAAAAATGGACATGAAGAATTCAGAAGATTAGAATTATGGAGAACACAAATAGTGGATGCACCTGCACCATTGCAAACAATTATGAGCCATGTCATTCAAGGTCTCTAATCATCGGTTGCTATTGTCTCACGGATCCTAACCAGATAATCTACACCAGCCAACATGGCTCAGTCCACTTGTCAGTGACTGCATTAAATTGTGCCATGTTTCGGTCTGGCCATCCCTAGCTTTCTTCCAATCTACTCCTATACCACTGAGTACAATTGATTTTGGTCAGTTATGTAATTCTACAGTTTATTATTATACAATAATTTATATGAAATGTTACTTGGTATATTTTTAGCTTTTATTTCTAGTATGGTTGAATTCACATATGGTTAGTGATTTTGATTACAAGTTAAAAACAAGGAACATTATAAATAGATAGTTCAATTTCATTTAGATCATTTTAATAGTGTTCAGTTATTATTCTAACACAGATATATTGGATCATAAAATGATCAAGCAGTCACTAGATAGTAATTTACATCTTCAACGGAAATTTATTTACAATATAACATGACAACTAATTCATATACACAATGGATACATAATAGTTTAAATTCCAAATTGATTTTAATACCACTTCAAGAAATACATTTCGAATTTAACAATTAATGAACTATCGAGTATTATTATGATGAACATCTATTTACATTTGGTTTTAAAAATTTTGTGGGGAATTTGAGTGAGTAGTTGATGCTATGTGATGAACAGATATAAATCAAGAAGGTAAGATTATCTTTGCTTTATAAAACATCCACTTACTGGTTAATGTATTCGATGTTTACTCACTAAGTCACAAGATAAAACCCTGTTTCCACTAACCTTTTTGTTTGATCAACCTGATAGTGTCGATAGCCTTCATGATAGAGTGTGGCTAGATGTCATGTCTACCAAAAAAACTGTTCTTTCTGTTTGAAATAATCACCATAAAGAGTAAATACTTTGTATTCTACTTAATCTTTGAAAAGTTACATAGTTATCAAGCAGTTTTTGGTAGCTTATATATATCATTAATCATAGAAATAATAATTTTATAGTTGAGTTCATGAGTCAATTGAAGCTAGACCATTATGGAAAACCTGAAAACACTAGACGACCGTTTCGTTCTAGTATGGAACTCCTTTAGCTTCAATTGACTCATGAAATTACTAAAATTTTCACAAAATCCCTTTTGATAATAGAAATAATAGTTAATTTCTATTGAATAGTCGGTAAGATAACGTTTTCAGTCAACTACATTTCGAATATGATTGAAATATTTCTATAGTAACAATAATTGTGATAATTTAAAATCGATCATTTAACATTTATATTGATAAAATAAGTGAAAATTTTCTCTAATTATCTTTAACTATAGAATAATATCAGATGGGCTTTGTGGATATTATAGTAATTTCAATGGTTAAGATCATGAATCAATTGAAGCTAGACCGCCATGGAAAACCTGTAAGCACTGGACGGTCGTTTCGTCCCATTGTGGGACTCCTCGGCAGTCGTGGATGTGCACTATAGAATGAAAATTAATATTTCACTGATGTTTAACATAAATACATTCTATGTGTTTGAAATAACCACAATTAGAGATTAATAAGGATAATTATATAATACATATACACAAACATAACATAAATAAAGGGGGATTATGCATGTTTATAAAAAAAGAAGAACAAATAACTGTTGATGGAGAAGATTTATAACTCAGGTGGATGATTTTGATAGAGTTTTGTTCTCTGAAATGGATGGTTTGATCGTGGAGGTTTCATTGTTCTTCTAAACTACATCATCAACACAAGTAACTGTTTATATTTAGTGATGTATTGAATATTGTATCCGATTGTGTTGACACACTTCTTAATAGATGAAAACATCAATATTTTGAGTAAGACATAAATAACTAAAGAGAGTGAGGAGGTGAGAAAGTGATAAAATAAATATCAGAAGAAAGTTACTAAAATTAACTGATTAATTAGACTAAAAATATATTTCTATTATTAGAAGATATTTATTATTTATAAGAAGATCATAAGTATGAATAGTTATAAATAAAAAAGACCTACTTAAAACAAGATCACTTGACTGGAATGTTATTAATACTTAGCCTGTTACACCCCAATGGAGCATAGGCCGCCGACTAACATTTTCCAATCCACTCTGTCACAGGCATTCCTTTCTAGTTTTATCCAATTGTTGTTCATTCTTCTCATATATGTCTCCATTTCTCAGTGTAATATGTTCTTTGGTCTTTCTTTTCTCCTTCGGCCTTGAGGATTCCATGTGAGGGCTTGCCTTATGACGCAGTTCGGTGCTTTACTCAATGTTTGTCCTGTCTATTTCCGGCGTTTCTTCGTGATGTTCATCCCAATCATCTCAGCAGATAATTGGTTATAAATTCATTGATCTACTTACTATTTTTAACAAAAACCATACACCAAATTTCAGCCTTCATGGTTTTTCCAAAAGAATATAATTCTTCAACAACTCTTATGATAAAATAGTTGCAACCTAAAGATTCCCTATAATTTTATGAAACGATTCTGATAGCCATGAGGTAGTATAGAGTAAAATAAACTCAAATTTTTGTAGGTTAGCGTAAAATGTTTTTATCTATAAACTATCCAGTTACATAGTCGAACAATAGGTAACTTTTATATGGAGGTTGATGGTTTTAGAACCGTCGAATCAGTAGCAACAGATTGTCTCAAGATTCAGTAAATAACATTAACCAGACATAAAACATAAAAAAGTTGAGTTCTTTTTAATGTACTGTGATTATAATGAAAGAAAATTTAATGTTTCACTCCATCTTCAAATAACTATAGCCCCGATAAACCATGGTGATCTTGAATTTTACCTTTGTAAAAGTTTGCATATTTCTCTCTGTTAAGTAAGAGACGCTTTAAGTCAGATCCGTTTAAGCATTGAATTTTGTGTTTTGATTAGCCTTGACTTCTCTCACTCAATCTTTTTGCTATAATAGGGTTAACTTTAATATTATAGGATCTAGTATGAATATGTATCACCTTAATTGGGAATATATATATATATATATATATATATATATATATATACATATCGGAAATGAATTTACTAATGCATTAAAGCGTATAAGATAACACGGAAACTATGGATTTAAGGGAAGATAGGAAGTGAAGAGATCGACTCCACTGTTACATATTTTAACTCTTGTTAGAACTTGTATTTTCTTAACATTTTTTTGTCACAGAAATAATACACCTATTTTCTAGTTCTTCTTCCGAATAGAGTTCCCTTTATCTCGTTGTTTTCTTTAAATTTCATACACATTTAGCAGTTCTAGAGTAGTTTTTCAACATTCAATAGATTTTATACTAGACTATTAGCTTGAGAACCATTGAACGCCTGTTCTGAAGGTAATATAGTAATTATGAGATCCGAATCTCTTAGGTTTGAACTTGTGCAAATAATATAGTTTAAGTAATTTCCAATTAAGAAGACATAAATCTATTCCTCGATTATCCATGGCTCAACAAGAAAAGCCAGCTGATGACTAAAGCAATTTTAATAGCATTTCTTTGTTTATTCTTTACCCATACACAGACCTCTGTTCAATATGAATACATTCGTCTCTTTTGAGAAGTAATAACAAAGGGAATCGATATATTATGTTGTTGGAGTTCTGTCGACCATATGGATAAAATTCTTGATCACATGAAACTACTTGTAAGAACACTTGTTAGTAGATATCTAATTTCCTAATTACCGATAAACGGATTATTAAACTCATGATTCCAACTAAATATTTTTCATCTCATGTGATAAAATTATTATTAAAATTCTTTCTTATCACTATTTCAATTTAATAATGTGGTTTGTAATAAGCATTCAGTATACGTTGGATGATTATTCTAAATTAATGTAAATTCATTAAATTTCATTGTAAGACTTTATTTTATTGGACCGAATGAGTCCACTCTAAGAACTTCCTCATTGTTTTTATCATACGGTGAAAACTGCAAAGTTAATTTCTGAAAGTAATACACCACTTCTGTATGGTAAGGTTAACGACTAGGTGAAATATTTGTCAAAATAGTGAAAAAATGGATAAATATAAGGACAATGTTTTCCTTTACTGAATGTCAGCGACCGAGAGTGTAAGTGAAAACCAAGATAAGGTTGACAACAGGTTCATCCCAGCATGTTACTCCTCCAGCTGTTTACACTTGTAAATTCTTAAGAAGTTAAGCCCAATACCGATCTGCTAGCATTTAACCTTTGGACTGGTGGGTTAAAATCGAATTAGTACTCATTTCTAACTGCCGGGTCCCGAAAAAGTGAAAGGCTCATCTTGGATCCCACCACTAACTGTTATCAAACTCTGCTGAAAGTTTTCGTGACTGATGCCAACACTAAAATGCACATATTCTAAAATAGACTAGTCAGTTACAGATTTTAACATCAACAACGAGAGGCTTCAAATACGTTCAACTGAATCATTTCTTTTGCTCAGTTATCTTGACCTTGTAGAGAATCTGGAAAGATGATTCCCGTGGTGGTACATGACCTATGTTTTCCGTATCTTTAAAGATTCGGATAATGACTGCCTTGGATGTATTTGACAAGAACATACTTTGAGTGGCTAATATAATCTGCTTCATTCAGCAAGTAAACTGATAAATATGAGTGTAGGCAGTAGAAAACCGTGAACGTAGGTTTCGTGGTGTCTGGCACTAGTGAGTATAGTGTACCTTTTATCACGGAGAAGGTGGTGCATCGAGGAGGATTTGATCCTAAAAAACCGGGTTTCGTAATGTGAAACGTTACCTTTGAGCCATTTTATGAGAGAAACACCCAACTGCGTCACAAGGCAAGCTCTCACATGGAGAAGGGGAAGACCAAAGAACACATTACTTCAAGAAATGGAGATAGACATGAGAAGAATAAACAGCAACTGGGTAGAACTAGAAAAGAAGGTCTAAAATAGACTGTGTTGGAGTATGCTGGTCGTCGGCCTATGCTCCATTGAGAGTAATAGGTGTAATTATCTTTATTATTATTATTAACCTATTACAGGACTGAGATATTTACGGTTGATCGATCACTGAGTTTTGGACAATGTCATATTTAACTAGTCTCTTTAGTGTTGATCGGATTTCATCAATTAAGTTGGAGTGAAGTCACTAGTATAAATGACTTAAAATGCCGTGCATTATGCTGTGGTGTTGGGTAATCTGAAGTAGTAGACAGAATACTCTAGACCAAGGTTTTATGCATTTTTTTCACTCATTAGCGCTATAGGACTAGATAGATATGAAATAATTTACTACTCAGAGATCAGTCAATCATAGACATGAGTATATATAGTACGTGGCCAAAAAGCACCACCATTATTTGGTTAAAATCAGTCTAAAACTGGAAAGTCCATTTCTTTTATTAATACACTTGAAATATAAGTAGATGGACTAGCAAACCAGACTGATGATATTTAATAATGAGAACACTAATATCGAACTTTATTGTATGCTACTTATATCGACAGTTACAAGTAGTGTGTAACCCCAAGCAAAAGTGTAATGCCTCTCAAATGAAGTTTCAGAAGATTGAACTGTTTACAAATGATTGATGATTGAATAGTGATCAATGTCATACGTGTCACATACTTCTTAGTGCAGATCAAATCCTATCAACCAAGTTACAATGTGGCCACCAGTCTAAATAACTCAAACTTGAACTATAAAAAATAGAAAAGA